TGGTACGTAATAAGGTTATTATCGTTATGGCAAACATTATCCGGTTAGGTAACGTTTTTTAGTCAGTTGATCGCATGATCCAATAGACGTTACCTTCTAAACAAAATATCGGTATGCAACTATTTTTTTATTAGTGAAACGTTACATTCTTTCTATAAAATTAGTTACCCTCTTCCTATATATATCAGCTGCAAGTCAGATATTTACAGCCAATAAAATGGATTTCAAGCATTGCTAACATTTACTAAAATGCATCTAACTTTGACCTCCCGATTCTTAGTATTAAGGCATTCTGTCCCCGTAAGACATTTTGCAACCGTCATTTCTTTACGACAAGCAGACAAAGCCATCCAAAGAAGCAATGATCAAGTGATAATAAATCCTTACACATTAGAAGGTTCAAACCCAATTTTAAAGAAATCTCAAATTTTAGGCGTCAAAGAAATACCAAAATCAAATGATCAAATTAATCGATTATCATGGCTCCAAAGATTGTGCAATGTATTTGATAAAGAAAAAAATAAACAAGTCAGAGAAAAATTGTAAGCCTTAAAGAAATATTTATTCGTCCAATTACATGATGCGTGCTTGATTTACTATATATTTTAGAATAAGAGAATATAACACTCCATACTGGAAAGATTTAATCGAATTAAGAAAAGATGGTGAAAAGTTATGGGAAGCTAATCCTGAGTTAGTCAGCGCTGAGGTTCGCGTTCTTTATTTTGAAAACCAATAACTTTGTAGAATAACGAACTGCGATTTTAATAAAAAAACATACATACATAGAAAGCATTATACATGCCTAATATCAAGGCGTGTTCCTTATCTAATCCAAAAATCGACACGACAGATTTACTCCAAAACCAAACTTCTTTAGTCGTCATAAGCTTCAATCAGTATGGAGAAGTATTTGTCGGTTCAGCTTAGTATAGAATAGAACTATACATCGTATTTTTATTAATAAAATGTCACTCTTGACAGGAACATGTAAAAACATTCATTGAACCATTTTTCAAAAATTTCTCTGATCACGCAAAGATACAATTTTTGAAGGTTTTTATTATAAAATTTAAAGATCTTTTAAATTGGTGATATGAATTATAAAGTTTCTATAATAATTATAGGTGACTATTGAGCCGAATTTTGCAAAGGCTTTCATTATAAAATTATTTGTGATTCCATCTTTAAGAAGAAGTATTCCCGAATCACTTCATGTAAGATTTATAATACTCAATTTTTACTGTTTTTACTGTTTTTACTGTTCGTATCTCTCACTCTATTAATTATTTATTCTACTAATTATTTGAATGAATTTCAAAAAGAAAAATTATATTTTTGCTTTCAATAAGGATCCAATCTTGTTTGAAGCATTGGGAATGAATAATTTGTATAGGGGATACACGTTCTTGGTTGATTCAAATTGTAAAATAAGATGGTCTGCCCATGGAAAGGCGACATCAAATGAATTAGAAACTATGCTAAAATTGACTAAATTTTTAGGCAATGAGAGTGTTAGATAAATGTTATTTGATTTACACATGATAAATCTACGTAGAATAGCAGATAGTGATAGCTACCCCAGTAAGACATGAAAGATCGACAATATATACCAATCA